ATACTATAATACAATAATGCTCATGCTCACAGGCACTTTAATGCCTGACTTGTTTTTATTTTTAGTTCACAAATCTGGCATCAATAAAGTGTTCAAACTAAATATGTTTGTGGATATGATTTAAACATTTTGTAGCGGCCAAAATCATATAGAAATGAAACTGATAATTAACTTAAAAAAACACTGCCGCTCAGTTAAATATAATACTTCCCATTTTCAAAGCAGGCCTAACCTTAACCCTAGCTCTAACCGTAACATGAAATTAGGTATTTCTAAGTTGCAGTATTTGTATTTGTACTTGGGTGAGCTGATTACTTTCTCATCACGCTCTCCCAGTCCATTTTTAGATATTGAAACAAATGTTAAGAAAAATGGTTAGTTTGTGAAGCGACCAATACACAATACCAATAACAATCATTTTATTAACTAAACAATGACATTGAAATACAGGACTTTATTCTGGAAGCTATGCCTTTGGTTGTAATCAGACGTTTTTCTTATTATCAGAATAAACAAGGTATGTTGTGTTCCAGGTTCATCTTTGTTATGCACTACAGCTGGATCACTCCTGTTCTTTGTTTATTGTCTCTCTAAATAGTTATTTACATTTGTTCCTGTCCCAGAAGTGAAGAGCAGCCTGCGGGCACCTGAAGGCAACACTGTTCCCAGCTGATCTTCCACTTCAGGTGACCCTCTTCATTTTTCATGGGTGTTAAGGAGGGCAAATGAAGGACTCACATTTCGGCCCACAAACTCTGTCCAGGGCTGACGCAATGCAGCTGAGTGGGCGCTTTGAATCATTGCTCGCCCTCTCTGTCCTGGGACTCCCCTCTCTAATCTTAAAGTGATAGATGGTTCATCCAGGCAGAGCAAAACTGAGCAAAAAAGCATTATAGTACTCCAGTAATGTATAAACTGAAATTATGAACTACCTGTGTATAGAATATACCCTAAACGCTTTATTGATTTAGGATGACATTAATTATAATGGTGTATTTGATACATGGAGAGCTGGTCATCAGAAGCGTTACCTCAAGCCACTCTGAATTATTAAAGTAGACCAAAATGTCATTTGAATAATTTAAGTTTAAGCCCTTCTGCCATGAAGTCTCGATAAGATCACAGCAGTTTCTTGTTATATCAGTAAAAGGAGAGTGTAAGAGAGAATACATTATTGTAAGCGACATATATTCCGTGACAACTTCAGAAATACTAGTATCTTGCCCACAAAGGCTAAAATGAACAAATGGAAGTTAATATACAACTTTAAATGAAGAGATAATGCAAGAGATATCATGAAAGGGCTTTGAAGCACAGTAGCTCTAACTGGGCACTGTAGTTTTAAATAGAAGTTTCGAGAACAGAAGTTAACGTCGTATTGTGTTGGAGACTATTTTCCGTCACATATTGTTTGACAGCATCAGGTTTGTGTGTTGAAATCAAACTACAGTAGTTGAGTAACTATAGAACATTAAAGCCTACTGGGCCGCATTTTTCTACAATGGAGCACAGAGAAATAAGGTAGTAACCCTGGTTCTCATAGTAACAACTTTACACTATTAAATCGTTTTCTTACTGTTAATGCAGGCAGGCAAACATAAACCCTGCCTGAGTATTTTTTATGATATTTCATAATATCAACATTTTTATCCTTTCAAGCAGGCGTCAATGGGGTCACCGTTTAGACATTCTGTTGCATGTTAAACTGGCCATACAGTAACAATGGCCTAAAGTGCCATGTAAAGTATAAACATATACCTTTTGATGGCGCACTCAATAAGAAACTATAAAGAATTATAATTCTTAGCCACAACTTTGCCATGATGAATAGTTGTGACACAGTGCTTTAGCATAGGTTACAGTCACAGGATTGATTACATGCTTTGTTTTTGTCACATATAGGCCCATTTATCTTTTACATATATAAGAAAGATAAACCCTAAACTTTCAAAACATTATCAAACAATCATGTGGGGGCCCCTGTAGTAACCCTTGGGGTCACAGAACCCCTTTTGAAGACCCATGCATTAAAGTAATAGCAGAGGAAGAAATGCCCATTTATTGTTTAACTATTATCGAGATAATATTATATGACATATTCAAGTTGAGTCATGTGTCAAATTGATATCTCAGACAGCAATAAATGGGAGGACGTGCAGGAAGCCTTAATGATATCAGGGATTTCCAGCATAGGTGAGGCAAATAAATAAAAAATAAAAAAACTGGATTACTTCCAGAACATGACTGTTTTATCACACTGTTTTAGGATGGCTGATCTCCCATCACCCACGTATGAAGCAGGTTGTGTCCACCTGTCTGTCCTCCATCCGCTCCAGTGCTGAGAGAGCAGATGGAGCCTCACAAGCTTAGTTCACCTCAAGCCAAAAATGTGCTGCTCATTTGCCTTAATGCAGCCTTCCCCTTTTGGTGAAAACCACGTCTGATTTCCTGTTCAATCATATTAGCCCTGGCGTCAATAAAGAAGCTATACAAGTAATGCACTCTGAATATTCTTGGTCAGCAAAGTCAGAGCAGAGAATCAATGGCTCAAGTAATACAGTAGGTGCTGAACTCTGATCAATATTTAACCCATGAGGATTGCTTTGTCACTCAATATTACACCTGCTGCGCTACAAAGCAGAACTGCATTCGCACTTTGATCAAAAATATAATGGCAAGGTCACGACAGCAGTGCTGCAGCCTGTGCTCTGTCCTGCGTGCAGGAGAGTTAGCGTCAGTGGAAGAAACAGGAGACCTTGGACGGATTTAAAATAAACACAAGCTGCCCAGCTCCAACTTTGACTTTGCCCTCTGGAGGGAGGGAACTACAGTACAGCCTGCTGTCTATGCAGGCCTGAAATTGACTTATAAAGTGTCTGCTGACAAAACAGAAACCTAATCTACTGATATGAGACTCACAGTCTGAGCTTTCGTGTGGGATCCATCCTTTGTTTCCTTTCAGGGAGAGGGGCACAGCTTGTCAAAGATTGAAGGAAAGAACAGAGTCATGCAACAATAATATATTTTTAGATCCATTAAGGGTTGCAGCACAGTCTGCTGTGTCACAGTGATTGGACACTCTGCCGGTCTTTGAATAGATTTCTTTGGGTAAATCTTTATCTAAGGCAGGATGTATGTGATCTCCTTGTGGAACACCCGATGAATTATAAATGGCAGCATCACATTAGCTTTCACCTTGAGCCACCTGTCTGTTAAATGCTAAAAAGCTATCTAGAGTTGTTTTTGGGGTATCGCTGTACGATCAGTGATCAGAGGGGCAAAAGGGCAGCTCGCTGACTTGACCACTAACTAGTGACAAGACCATCAAAAAAACAGGCAGCATGTTTCAGCAGGAAGTGACTTTAAGATAATCATAATGAGATATTGTTTTAACTTTGAGAATGATTCGACATTTTTGGACAGAAAAGCATAAAATGATACAGCCAGCTTGCAGCCTTGTAGGCGAAAATAGATAATCTTATAAATGATTCATTTGGTTCTGCATATTTAATTTTGTGCTTTTGCTTTTGAAGCTATCCCCGTCAGAACATTGTCAAGCTCACAGCACTCACGATTTCTCCATCTAGTGAAGATTTCTGACGATAGAAAAAAAAAAGTGTATTTTACTAATAGCGCCCAACAACTACAAAAACGTCTCAATATGTCAGCTTTGCATCTTTTGCATATACTGTATGCATGATTTGGTCATCACTTGTTATGGTCCCTTCTGTATCCTACTCATTTCTTAATTAGATAACATGTTGTCACAGAACACACACAGCGAGAAAACGTCTGCTCCTCCAGCCTGCCATCTACATCACGACACCAGATATATAAAAAAAACACTAACCAGGCTCTTAATCCCTCAAATAATGTGACATGCTGGAGAGAGAGAAAGAGAGGCAGAACGGGAGTGAGAGAGGGATGCCATCATGACATCAGTGACGGGAGAAGGCGTTAATAAATGCTAACATGAGGTGATCATGAGTATTTCAGCTCTGCAGACACTCACACCTCCATTCATCACATCGTGGTACATTCTTAAATTGGCTCGATGTCACAAGAACAGTTTATCCCAGAAGGGAAATCATCAGAGGGAAGCTTCACATAGCTAGGATACATGTTTAATGAAAGGCACATAACATAACATAGTAAATTGCTGAGTACTAACGTGACTAACTGATGTCACCTTATTGCATATCAACTCAATTAATTACAAGTATTGCTCTTTCCATGGGGGAAAACACCCACTTGTCGTCATTATTGCATATTGTAGGATTATTATAAAGGCATTGATTGTGTTACATCCACTGCCATTCCAATACAAGCTGTGTTCATATATTTAATAAACTCACATACAAGTTTGAAATGTGGCATGCATATACATTATAGGACCAATTTCCTGATGAGACACAAACAACATCATTTTACAATTCCAGTTTAAGTATTGGCTTTTCCTATCACATGAAATATAATGATCATTACTATATGATTGATATAATATATTAAGGTACAATACATATGTCAAACTATCAGTTGCTGATAATAACTGACAACTCTTACGGATTAAACCTTGTTTCAGCACACTATGCCATGCAATACAAGTGAGAGAACAAAGGTAAACGGAGACGGAAAAAAGAGTGCACCGTCTTTGCTCTCTCTGCTATTCCCTTCATCTGATCACAAATACATATTTCATCATCCTTTGCTAAACACTAAGAAATGTGTTTTTCCAGCCAGCAGCTGATGGTGTTAAGCTCCAAAAGTGCTCAAAAGATATGGGAAAAAACTCTCAGTGCATAATTTAATATGATTTTAAAGTGTGTACATCATAATAATGGTAGAAGATTAAAATCTAGTGCAAAATGCCAGATAATACAAAAATTGAAACCATGAGAATAAAAACAGTTTGTCATTTTAAAAGCATGTAAATAGGGCATGTACTATAATGCAGTGAATGTCATTGCAGATATTTATTTTTGCAGCTTTTTTTACAAGAGCAACTGCAGATGTGCAAAACATTCATCACACAGCACAGATATTGTTGTGCTGTGTCATATGGAGAGGTGCTGCTGGCTGAGCATTCACAACTTTAGATTTGCTGAGAACACAAAGTGTGAGCTCAGGTCCGCATGCCTTACACTGGATGCATTCGCCTGACCTTGAAAATCATGCCAAGTTCTATATAGGTTTTGCTGATTATACTAAAGTGTAGACTAAATGCGATGAGGTAATACAAGCTCTAAGTATGCTTACAGTATAAGTGCTTCGATTATCACAGCAGTGTTTTCTTTTGTGGGATAACAGTAGTTTTACACACACCCTCAAGGACATTTTGGTCAAATATACAACTGACTATTTCCTTGTTTACTTTAACAGTCTTAACAGGTGAATGTCTTTAAATTGCACTGGAAGAAAGATGATAATAAACCTCTATTGGAAGATAACTGACCGAGTAATAGCTGAGTAGTTGTGTTAATTGCACTTTGACACATCCACTAGCGGACAGACAACTTGTGTAAAGGCTGTCCCACCACACAGGTCCTTTTAATACTGTCATTATATGAACAAAATAATGCTGCCATGTTCCGAGTACAAAATACTGAGAAAGATAAACAGCAGCGCATCTCACTGCTGGTTTGATTTGTCCTTGTGTCTCTCATGCCCTTAATAGATATAAAGAGTTTCTCTTACTATATTAGCAATTTGTGCCATTTTTCTCGTTCTGCCAGTTGCCGTTACTTTTGTTCAGTGAGGGTGTGCTTCCATACTTGTTTGCGGCTGACATTTTCTGGGCAGCCTCTGCAGCCGCATCCATCACCTGTTTCTCCTCCTGCTCAGTCTCACGATGGTAAAAATAGTTAAAGTTAGAGACGATGACAGGGACGGGCAAGGCGATGGTCAGGACACCGGCAATGGCACAGAGGGTGCCCACCATTTTGCCTCCCATTGTGATGGGGCACATGTCTCCGTATCCCACAGTGGTCATTGTCACCACCGCCCACCAGAAGCCGTCGGGGATGCTCACAAACTGCGTCTCCGGCTCATCCACTTCTGCAAAGTAGATGGCACTTGAGAACAGGATGACTCCTATGAAAAGGAAGAAGATGAGCAGCCCGAGTTCCCTCATACTGGCTTTCAAGGTCTGCCCCAGGATCTGAAGCCCTTTAGAGTGTCGGGAAAGTTTAAAAATCCTGAAGACTCTCACTAGACGGATGATTCTTAGGATTGCCAGGGACATGTTCTGACTGGAGTTCAAATCCTCGTCAGGGGTCGTAGCCAGCTCAGTTCCAAGGGTCACAAAGTAGGGAATTATAGAGACAATGTCGATGGTGTTCATGATGTTATTGAAGAAATCTCTTTTGCTGGGGCACACGATAAAACGGACACCGACTTCAAAGCAGAACCAAATGATGCAGATAGTCTCCACAATGAAAAAGGGGTCTGTTAAATATGCAAACACGTCTTTAATGGGAGGACCAGAACCTTTGGTCCCGTTGATGAGTTGGGTTAAAGCTGGATGATAGTCAGAGTCTTCTCTGAACACCGGCAGAGTCTCTAGGCAGAAGATGACGATTGAAATGACGATGACAAACACAGAAACCAGAGCGACAGATTTGGCCGCACTAGAGCTTTCTGGGTATTCAAACAGGAGCCAGAATTGGCGTTTGAGTTCATTGGTGGGTAAAAGGACCTCCGGCTCTTTGACAAACCCTTCGTCTTCGCGGAACTGCTCCATCGCTTCATGACCCAACTCATAGAAGACCATTTCGTTGGCGAAAACATCTAAGGGAACATTGGCCGGTCTGCGGATTCGCCCCCCTGACTGGTAGTAGTACAGAACGCCATCAAAAGATGGGCGGTTTCTGTCAAAAAAGTACTCGTTTTTCATCGGGTCAAAGTATCTTATCCTCTTAATTGGGTCACCCAGCAGTGTCTCTGGAAAGTTATTCAAGGTGCTAAGCTGGGTCTCGAACATCAGACCCGAAACATTGATGACAACTTTCTCGTCTTTTTCTTCAATACAGTGCTTTTCAAACAAATCTTCACTCTCGTAGCAATCCTTAGCCATCTTACTGAAGACACTGTCAGTGGGAGACTCACTGTGGATCAGGAGCTTCAGATTAGAGATCAGGCTGCCACTGCTGGAGTTTGCTTTAGCTGTGAGAGACGGAGGAGTGGAAGGTGACAGTCCTTCTTGACCAGAATGATGTCTACGTCGTCCTCTGTGTGGCGACTGATGAGGTGAACTTAGGCGGTGGGGCAAAAGATTCTGATCGGGAGCCTCTGAGGGGGGTGAAGTCGGGTACCCGGAGTCATTCGGGTCCCCCAGGTTAATGCCAACATCATCCATGTTCTCAAAATTAACAAGGGGCACCTCCATTGTCCGTCTTGTGGCGGGGGCACCGCGACCGGAGCCAGGCTGAAGAGGCTGGCAGGGGTTCCCTCCTCCTGGTTATCATTCAGGCAGCCGTATGCCACGTTTTGATTTAGTCCTCGGTGTAATCTGTAGATGTGGAAGGAAAAATGCCATTTTATATTTTGTCAAATAGTGCAAAACAGTTTTGTCGGTAAAGAGATTTTCTGTCAGCTCGTGTTTGCATCAGCAGAGAATTGGCCATCGGATACTGTGCTTGTATAGTTATTTTTCAATTCTCAAGCATGAACTAAATGAAAACACAAGCTCTGCAAAATCATCCATGAAAGTGCTTACATGAGCAATAGGTATTACTTGCCATTGCTGATCATGTGCGGCAAAACTGAACATGTTTGATTTCCTAATGAAAAAAGACATCATATCTTATGACTGGAAGCAGAAACTCATCAAAACCATTGATTTCCTTTTGTTTGAACGTCAGTGTCTAAACTGTTTCAGTCAATCGCTGCTCACATTAACTTTATCTCTAAGTAGCTGTTTATCATTCCATTTGTCATTTAGACAGGTAACTAAATCCTGAAACACTTTTTAGCTGCAACCCCTGTGTCCACTTGACACCAAAGGCCCTGCGCACTCAGAGACACTCATCTGGTTCTATTCCCATTTGCATCGTAGCAGATAACGTAACAATCCAGGATATGCGCCTGTATCTTCTTATCGAAGGTCATCATGATACGATATGAGCAAAAGAATAAATGATTTGATTGTGCCATTTCAGCAAAGAGGTGTTATTGAGTCCAAGACAAAGGACAGGTGAAGATACAGCAAACTGAAAAAAGTGTTGTAAATCTATACTTGTCTTAGACACTTTTTATTCTTTCTAAAATTAACTTTTTGTGACTAAAATCTTACTTTACGAACTTCATCTCACACAGCATTGAAATAAAACAGATACACTGACATGACATCACTACCCTTATCAAAGCACCCACAAAAACATACAAATATGTTTTTATTTTAAGTGTAAAGTTTAAATCCAGCTGTGTGCGTAGGTCCGCACCACTCACCCGTGTTCCCGGCTCTGCTCTCAGTTGTTGTGCCCGCTCTGTCCTGCCTGGCAGCTCCGCTCTGCTCCCCCTTCCTCCCTTCAATCTCTCTCATCCAGACTCACAATTGAGAGTGTCTCTAGCTCTATTAAAGCTCCCATTGGGTAATTTAACACCCTATACGAAACCAGAGATCCCAGAGGTAACCACACACAAACTTACACATGCACAAACTAAGACAAACACACACACACAAAGGAAACTCACTGTTTTGAATGTGGGGGTCACCTGGCTCTGTTCTCCCTGCTCTCTCCTCTGTCAGTGGGATAAGTGAGGAAGATAAAGCTCTCTGATAGGAGATTTACCCTGAAGGAGCCAATCACTGTTTGACGTGGTGAGGGGAGAGTGGGACCCTCTCTTTCCCCTCTTTCCTGCAGAGTAAGCATCCACATGCAGGATCCTCCAATCCAGCCTCACCTTGGGGGTTATACTTTATTCTTCCCCTGATACAGCACTTGTCACAGCTCTCAATACCTGCAGCAGCATACATCTGTCCAGTAGATTCAGCCCTGTCTGGTTTATATCCTTAGTGATACCAGTTTTCTATGAAACTGTCACAAATATTTTCCAACTCCTCCCTGAAATCTAAATCTTACTTTATTTCTGTATGCCTTTGCTGAAATCCATAGACATATGCCAATTTGTGCCAAAAAACAAGAATTAAGCAGCACTCTAGGATCAATACCATTGATAAATACTTGAGGTTTTCACTGAGGTCATTTATTCTGGGCACTCGTTTGCCCTAGAGGTGTCGATTATAGATTTATAGGAGTGTTTACGGTGTTTAGAATAACAGACCTTTCTGGGAAAATCCTGCAGATGTGTTTGTGTTTTTCTCATTTATTTTGTCCCTGCCAACTCCTGCACCTGCCAGCTACTGAAAATCTGTCACATTAAAACAGTAGCTCTCTGGCTGTGAAAAATATGTCATAGAATCATGCAATATACCAAGCCTAATTCAAAGGTCAAATTATAATCACAGAAAGACTGCACTTCCTTGTATTACTCCACTTGAATACCCTCAAGGAGCGCAAACTTTAATCAAAGTTCATCTTCTTTTTCAGAAGGACGGCCAATTTGGCAACATAAGTTGAATATTGTGTTACCTGATAGAGAACCAGGTGCCTAAAGTCAGGAAGAAATCATCCCCTCCTCTCACTCCGCTCGTGCCGCAGCCTGGAGTTAGCTGCCTGCAGATCCTCTGTAACATTGCGGCGCGAGTAGCACCACTGCAGGCACGAGCAGATGCATCCAAGGTCACAGAAGACTGTTTGAAGACTTTGCTATACATCATCATGCACTGTCACCTCAAGAAATCTCATTATGTGTCCTCACGGGGGACATGATGCTCATCGATGAATATAAACTTCATTTGTTTGTACCCAAGGTATAGATAAAGGTGTGCCAGGGACGTTCAACTGCACACACAAACACCAGCTGACTTGACATGCACGATATAAAGGGATCTTTTTCTTGTGTGATGTCCTAGACATGTCATTGAGAACGCAGTCAGCTGAGGCATGACCCGCCACTTAAACGCTTCATAATATAATTTGCTACAGGCAAAGAGAGAGGAAGACAGACAGTGATGGAGGGATCATACACTGCAGGAGTCAGACTGAGAGGGTAAATAATCGATCCATTCCCCTGCTAACCGATTTGTTTCAGAAAGAGAGGGAGAGGGGAGGTTAATGGGTGAGATACGAGCCACAGGATGAGGGTGGGCTGCAGTTACTGCAGTGTCACTCGTCTCAGGGATATCGTCCCTCCGTCCGTCCTTCATCCATCGCTCCCTGCGTCCATCCCTCCCCCAATGACACCGTCACCTTACCCGTTAACAGTGTTGACGAAGCAGTTTCTCGATCAGCTTGGTTGTGTATGTACTGATGGTGCAGAGGTATAAACACGTCCTGCGCACCTTCACACAGCTCGTCTTTGTGCGATATGAATATAAGGGAAATAAACTTCAACACCGAAGTGATCTAAAAAGCTCTAGTGTGTTCAGTAAAAGTAAAATGAACGACTGTGAAGATACTTAATAACAGGTTATGATCCTGCATTCATAATATTTAATGAGTCATATATTTTTAGGGGATTTTGTATTGGATTTCTTAAATCTGACAATATTAGTTTTCTCTACTCTTAATATTTTTTACCTTGTATTCTTGTTTTCTTATACTTATTTTTTGCTAATCTTGTGTGAATAATAACTTTTTTGTTTTACCAGTTATTGCATATTTACAGCAATGTCGATGAATGCTGTCTCTGTTAGATACATTTATAAATAATATAGATTTACTTAAAACAATTAACTCTTTATACAGGAAAGTAGCTCCTGTGAGTGTTATTTATGTTATAATTAGGGCCAGTTTTTATAATTTTTTGTTGGGTACATTATTTTAAAAATACACTCATCTAGTATACAGTAAACTCTTGTTTCAAGTTTTTTTTCTGGAAAAGAGAGGAGGGATGTAATGCAAAAAAAGCCCCTGGTCCGGCTTAAACATGGACGCGTGCACCAGGCACTCTTATTTTTTAAAGTAAGTCATACGAAATGAAGAAGAGCAATAATATAAAGACGCATGATATGTAAATACAAAGGAATTGGGAATCTAGTCAAAACCTGCAATGGCTGATTTTTTTGGGGGCCACTAAGGGGCCAACAAAATATTATTTAGCATTTTAAGAGAAAAACTCAGCATTCATTTGGAGACGTGTTTCCTGCCACAAAGCTAATGTATATATTTAGCTTGGTTTTCATTAAAGAAAAATATGGTTATTTATCTCCTTAATGCTCCAGTATTTTCAACAGATAAAAGCCATGGTTGTCTGCCAATCCAAACCCTTTTAGGGCAAGATATATGCATTATCATTCTCTACTGTCCTGCTTTTTTAATGTACTTTGACATATTTTCTATGATAAGTGTTTCCTGTTGGATGTTTTGCGGGATCCCTGCCTTAAGTTTGTGTGAATTGTTGATGAAGTAGATTAGATTTGTCCATTTGTAATAACTTTTTTAAAGTTTAATTTCTAATCCAATTTGTTGTTGATTTATTTGAATTTTTGAATTTGTCTATTCGTCTGTATTTTCTTAATGTGTGGTGCTGTATCAGCTAGATTTTCCCTCAGTCAATATATTTTCATATTATTCAGCTCTGCTCTGATGAATCCAGTCAGAGTACACATATTCTCAATCATAAAAATCACAGCCGGAGTGTTTGTGTCTATGGTTATTGGTTCTAGTGATTGGTTGCTTGATGGGGAATCTCTGGGTAAACGTTGGGGTCTTTTGTCTGACTTTTTCTTTTTTGACATGCACCTCTAGACTTATTTCCCTACACTCTATTAGTCTTTGTAAATGTCAAAGTAACAAAATCTGTGGGCCCTCATCTTGTGAACATGATCTGAGTAATTATAACTTAAAAGCCCATATGCTAGTCCATTAAGGGTGACAGGATTTCAAAGTGCATGTCAGGTAGCACGGATTAGATATTCCAGCCTGGTAATCTTATAGCAGTTGTAAAGGCAGCTGGTTATTCCAGTCTAGTAATCCTATATATTCAGGCAGAGGTTCTCCTCATTGAAAATAACATACAAGGTTGGGTCAGGATACAAGGGCATAACAGACACAGTATAGAAAACCGCACGCAGCTCAAAGAGAGCTCAGAATGCCACAAGTTCATATGGATTCAGTGTCAAACAGTGACCGGGGTTTCTCAATCACAGGTTTGTGATCCCTTGTTGGGTCACTTGCTACCTAGATGTGGACACATAAAACCGTTTTTTTAAAACTGATATATTTTTAAGAGATGATTCATCAAAAAAAGATAGGTTGCAAATATGCATTTTAATTTATTTTAAATTATTTTGGAACTTCTACTGTGGTCTTGACAATAAATTACAAAAAAACTAACAAAACTGCACCATGTAATTCCAATGTCCCTAAATGTGTGGCTTCTTAATTTAAAGCTTTAATGAGATTAAATAT